CTGCAGTTCCCACCCGTGACCACCAGGGGGCTCCATGAACTGATCCCAATGGGGAAATCCCAGAATTTTGGGGTGAATATCCCAGATTTTAGTGAAATATCCCGTTTTTTTGGGGGGAAATATCCCGGATTTTAGGGACATTTCCCGGTTTTTTTGGGAGATTTCCCATTTTTTTGGGGAAAAATCCCGGATTTTGGGGGTCATCTCCTCCCTGCAGTTCCCACCTGTGACCACCAGGGGGCTCCATGAACTGATCCCAATGGGGAAATCCCAGAATTTTGGGGTGAATATCCCAAATTTTTGGGGACTTTCCCGGATTTTTTGGGGGCGTCCCGGATTTTTTGGGGTCTCCCCAAATTCCGGGGGTCCCCCCTGACCCCCCCGTGCCCCCCCAGGGCTGGCGCTGTGCCTGGGGCTCGCGGGGCGGGCGCTGTGGCAGGGGTAGACAGATATCCCAGATTTTGGGGGGAATAAAGCAGATTTTGGGGGGAATAAACCAGATTTTGGGGTGAATATCCCAAATTTTAGTGAAATATCCCGGCTTTTTTGGGAGATTTCCCATTTTTGGGGCTTGGGGAGACAGGTGAGGGGACCCCCCGCAGGTGACCCCAGCTTTGCTCCCACCAGTGGCCGCTGACGGCTGAGGACGACGAGCCCTGAGGGGGAGACGAGACCCCCTGGGGACACCTGGGCGCACCTGGGGACACCTGGAGACACCTGGGGACACCTGGGCGCACCTGGGGGACACCAAAAAACACCTCGGAACACCTGGGGGCACCTGGATGGACCTGGATGGACACCTGGGCGCACCTGGGGACACCTGGAGACACCTGGGGACACCTGGGGATAGGTGGGGACAGCTGGGGACACCTGGGGCCTCTGGGGACACATGGGGACACCTGGGGGCGCCTGGGGTCACATGGGGACACCTGGAGACACGTGGGGTTACATGGGGATTACCTGGGGACATGTGGGGATCACCTGGGGACACCCGGGGTCACATGGGGACACCTGGGGATCACCTGGGGTCACATGGGGTTACATGGGGACACCTGGGGACACCCGGGGACACCCGGGGACACCTGGGGACGGACACCTGGATGGACACCTGGGGACACTTGGGGACACCTGGAGACTCCTGGATGGACAACTGGGGACACCTGGGGACATCTGGGGGCACCTGGGGGACACCTGGGGACACCTGGGGACACCAAAAAACACCTGGGGACACCTGGATGGACACCTGGGGACACTTGGGGACACCTGGAGACTCCTGGATGGACAACTGGGGACACCTGGGGACATCTGGGGGCACCTGGGGGACACCTGGGGACACCTGGGGACACCAAAAAACACCTGGGGACACCTGGATGGACACCTGGGCACACCTGGATGGACACCTGGAGATACCTGGGGGACATCTGGGCACACCTGGGCGCACCTGGGGACACCTGGGTGCACCTGGGAACACCAAAAAACACCTGGGACCACCTGGGTGCATCTGGGGGACACCTGGGGGACATCTGGGAATAGCTGGGTGCACCTGGATGGACACCTGAATGCACCTGGGCACACCTGGGAACACCCGAGTGCCTCTGGGAACATCTGGAGACACCTGGGGACACCCAACCACACCTGGACGAGGCTGTGCGCACCTGGGCGTGAGTGCAGAGACACCTGGACACACCTGAACCGACCTGGACACACCTGTGCACACCTGAACCCACCTGGACACACCTGTGCACAGCTGGACACACCTGTGCACACCTGGACACACCTGAACCCACCTGGACACACCTGAACACAACTGGACACACCTGTGCACACCTGAATCCACCTGTGCACACCTGAACCCACCTGGACACACCTGTGCACACCTGAACACACCTGGCCACGCCTGAACCCACCTGGACACACCTGTGCACACCTGGGCACACCTGAACCCACCTGGACACACCTGTGCACACCTGGACACACCTGTGCACACCTGGACACAGCTGAACCCACCTGGACACACCTGTGCACACCTGTGCACACTGGTCCTTGGGGATCATACCTGTCTGTTCCTGTTCTCACCTGTCTGTACCTGTCCTCCCATGTTCTCACCTGTGCTCACATGTCTGTTCCTGTGCTCACCTGTCCTCTCATTCCCCTCACCTGTCCTCACCTGTGCTCACCTGTCCGTGCAGCTCTCACCTGTCTGTTCTTGTTCTCTCCTGTGTTCTCTCCTGTGTTCTCACCTGTTCTCACCTGTCCATATATATTCTCACCTGTGCTCACCTGTGTTCACCTGTCCGTGCAGCTCTCACCTGTCTGTACCTGTGCTCCCCTGTGTTCTCACCTGTGCTCACCTGTCTGTGCAGCTCTCACCTCTCTGTACCTGTCCTACCTGTGCTCACCTATGTTTTCACCTGCTTTCACCTGTGCTCACCTGTCCTCTCATTCCCCTCACCTGTCCATACCTGTGCTCACCTGTCTGCTCCTGCTCTCACCTGTGTTCACCTGTCCGTGCAGCTCTCCCCTGTCCGTACCTGTTCCTGTCTGTTCCTGTTCTCACCTGTGCTCACCTGTCCATATCTGTTCTCGCCTGTCTGTGCTGCTCACCTGTGCTCACCTGCCCGTACCTGTGCTCCCCTGTGTTCTCACCTGTGTCCACACCTGTGCTCACCTGTGCGTGCAGCTCTCACCTGTGTCCACACCTGTCCTCACCTGTGTTCTCACCTGTCCGTGCTGCTCTCACCTGTGCTCACCTGTCTGTGCAGCTCTCACCTCTCTGTACCTGTCCGTACCTGTCCTCCCCCTGTGCTCACCTGTGCTCTCATTCCCCTCACCTGTCCTCCCCGTGTTCTCACCTGTGTCCACACCTGTGCTCACCTGTCCGTACCTGTCCTCCCGTGTTCTCACCTGTCCATACCTGTGCTCACCTGTCCGTACCTGTGTTCACCTGTCCGTGCAGCTCTCACCTGTCCGTACCCGTGCTCCCCTGTGTTCTCACCTGTGTCCACACCTGTCGGTGCTGCTCTCACCTGTCCGTACCTGTCCTCCCCCTGTTCTCACCTGTGTTCTCACCTGTTCTCCCCTGTCCTGCCCTGTGTGCTCACCTGCTCTCACCTGTGCTCACCTGTCCATATCTATTCTCACCTGTGTTCTCACCTGTTCTCCCCTGCTCTCCCCTGTCCCCTCCCATCCCCCCGTCCAGGTGTTCCCGCTGCCCCCGGATCCGTTTTTTAGGATTTTTTTTATTTTTAAATTTTAACCAAAATCCCGCGAATTCGGCCCAAATTGAGGCCGCCGCGGAGGGGGCGGGGCCAGTGTGGCCACGCCCTTGTGACGTCAATAAAAGTTTATTTATTAACCCCTGAGTGATCGGATTGGGGGCGGGGCCTCGGGAAACGCTCCGCGCTCGCTGATTGGTCGCCGTTTCCCTCCGAAATCGCCGCGCGTTGCTGATTGGACGCCGCGCGCGCAGTGACGCGCGCCATTGGCTGGGCGAGCTGCCAATCAAAGCTCACCGGCGAGCGCGGTTGTGATTGGCCGGAGATTTTCCCGCCGCTGATTGATCGCCGCGCCCGTCAATCCAGCGAAGCTCCGCCTCTTCCGCTCCGCGCTCTCCATTGGCTGCGCTGGCAGTCAGTCAGAAGCGCCTTCCAATCGCTGCGCATCGTGGGAGGGAGGGGACAGCGCGGCAAGCTATTGGTCGGACAAAACGTCAATTCCTTTTCGCCCCTCCTCCCCCGTGATTTCCGCTTCCTCCACCAATCGCGGCGTCTCGCGGGGCCGCCCAGCCGCTGATTGGCTGCGCACCCGCAGTCCCGCCCACGTCCTGCGTCCATCCCCTCTTTCCCATTGGCCCAGCCCGCTGTCACTCACCCCGACACCCCTCAATCGCAGCGCGCCGGCTCCTTCCTTCCTCCCATTGGCCGCTGCCGTCTCCCCTCACCTTTTAATTGGCCAAACCACCTGTCGCTCAACGCCAACACTCGCAGCGATTGGCGGAGCCCCTCCGGTTGCGGGCGGGCCTCCCAGCGTGCCCCGCGCGGCCTGAGGCGAGCGCGGCCCGTTCCCGTCGCCGCCTCCGCCATGTCCGAGTTCGGCCCCGCGCCGCCCCCGCCCCCCCAACCCGGGNGTCATTTTGTGGCATTTATTTGGATTTTGGGGCGATTTTGGGGTCATTTCTTGGGATTTTGGGGCATTTTAGGGCAATTTTGGGGTGAGTTTGTGAGATTTTGGGGTGATTTTGGGGCATTTTTTGGGATCTTGGGGCATTTTAGGGCAATTTTGGGGTCATTTTGAGGCACTTTGGAACAATTTAGGGACATTTTGGGGTGATTTTGTGAGATTTTGGGGCGATTTTTTGAGATTTTGGGGTATTTTGGGGTGATTTTTGTGGAATTTAGGGGGATTTTGGAGCATTTTGTGGGAATTTTGGGGTGATTTTGTGAGATTTTGGGGTTTTTGGGATTTTGGGGCATTTTAGGGCAATTTTGGGGTGATTATAGGGCACTTTGGGACATTTTGGGGCGATTTTGTGAGATTTTAGGGCATTTTGGGGCATTTTTTGTGGAATTTTGTGAAATTTTGGGGTATTTTAGGGCAATTTTGGGTCATTTTGTGGCATTTATTTGGATTTTGGGGTCATTTCTTGGAATTTTGGGGTTATTTGGGGCATTTTTTGGGATTTTGGTGTGATTTTTAGGGTATTTTTTGGGATTTTGGGACATTTTGGGATGGTTTTGTGAGATTTTGGGGTGATTTCTGTGGAATTTGGGGGATTTTGGAGCATTTTGGGGGAATTTTGGGGTAATTTTGGGTCATTTTGTGGCATTTATTTAGATTTTGGGGTTATTTGGGGCATTTTTTGGGATTTTGGGGCGATTTTTAGGGTATTTTTTGGGATTTTGGGACATTTTGGGACATTTTGGGATGGTTTTGTGAGATTTTGGGGTGATTTTTGTGGAATTTAGGGGATTTTGGAGCATTTTGTGGGCATTTTGGGGTAATTTTGGGTCATTTTGTGGCATTTATTTGGATTTTGGGGTTATTTGGGGCATTTTGGGACATTTTTGGGTGATCTTGGGAGATTTTAGGGCATTTTGGGGTGATTTTTTGTGGAATTTTGGGGGTTTTTGGGGTAATTTTTGTGGAATTTTGGAGCATTTTGTCTGAATTTTGGGGCAATTTTGGGTCATTTTGTGGCACTTATTTGGATTTTGGGGTTATTTGGGGCATTTTTTGGGATTTTGGTGTGATTTTGGGACATTTTTGGGGCATTTTGGGACATTTTTGGGTGATCTTGGGAGATTTAAGGGCATTTTGGGGTGATTTTTTGTGGAATTTTAGGGTGTTTTAAGGTGATTTAGAGCAATTTTGGGGTGGATTTATGGGATT